GTGTTTTTTTTTGTTTTTTGAGCTTTTATTTTTTTGGTACCGGGGATCGAACTCGGGTCCTTGCACTTGCGAGGCAGGCACCGGAACCACTGAGCTAAACCCCTGGCCCTCGTAATTTTTATATGAGCATAAATTACATGAGCTGCCCAATTTTAATGTTATCTACTTATCTATTTGTTTAGCAGTACTGGAGATCATATGCACTGCCTCACATAAGCTAGACAAACATATCACTGAAATACACCCCCAGTCGTTTTTATATTTATTATATTCACAAATATTTCCAGTTTTTTCAACTAGAACATGAGATATCCCGAAAAGGCACGAGTCTATGGCCTAATGCTGCCCCAGTGCCTTGAACTGATATTGTCCCGTGTGGTCTTTGTTTCAGCGACCAAGGGTAACCCTGTCACAACAGAAGTGTGGGGCCTAAATGCCAGCACTACCACTTAACTCTTTAACTTCAGGCAAGGTATTTAAACCGGCTGCTTCAGCTTTGTCATTCCTGTAAGGGGCTAACAAGACTTGCCTGTTAGTGTCTAGCAAAAGTAAAATGTTGGTGACCCGTGGCACCCAGACAGCGCAGTTATTGTCTGTAGGCACTACTTGGTGCCAAATCTTTCTCCCCATACATATGCACCTTAATTAACCCTCCTCATCGGCTTCCGTATTTACAAAAATCTACACCAAAAGATCACTGAGAAAGTAAAATTCAAGACAAACTTCAACAGACAACAAACGCTTTTAAAAAGTTTCTTTCCTTTTCGTCCCCTGGCTAAGGCGATAGCCTCAGCGTCATCCTCCAGACAGATCCCTTGTGCACTAGCTGAGAAGCCACCGATGGTACCGAACAACTTCCACACATCGACAGACAGACTCGAGAGGTATCTCCAACAACGCCAACCACGGCTCCACACCGAGGAGCCATCTTTCCCAGTCCCGAAGGCGAAAAGGTGTGCGAGACTCAATGATAAACACCCTCCGGGCGTCCGCACGCCCTCCGGCCCCGCACAAAGACGGCCTCCGACCCGCGTTCTCCGGCCCCACCCCACCGGCCT